TTGCAATAGGTTTTATGCAGCCAAGCGATGATATCTCAGATCATTATTTAGTCTTGTGATTGTTAAAAGCGCTATATAAATAAATAAAGGTGACTTAAGTGGGGATGACAAAGTGCTACCTCTGGAGTTGGTATTTCCGACCTGTTGTTGAGGATTTCATTGCATTCAATGAGTGGAGGAAGATCAATGCTCACGCCTACGCTAGATGCTTTTATCTGGAATCCATGCGCTTTCCTCCCTATCATCTCCATGATGCCTGCACAGGTTCTGAGTGAGTAAGGATGTGGGCTGCTTTGAATGTCGAACAAGTCAAAGAATTCTGAACGAGCCAAGGAGCAATTACTTTGGTCATCAAGGATTGCATACATGCTGACTGGTTGTCCTTTCTTGTACACTTTCACTAAGCAAATTTTTGAACAAGAATGAGCTGAATGGTTCATGCCACATACCTCTGTGCACTGGGAATTTATAGCAACTGAGTCACTGAGTTTCTCTTCCGTTTCACTTTCTTGTTCTGTACGCTCTTGTCCTACAGACTTTGAGGTCCAAGGGGTCGGTCCTGGATGCATAGCTGTGGAGTGGCGTTCACTTTCACATTCTCTGCATTTCAGTGGCGTTTTGCAGTCTCTGGCTAAGTGGGACATTGATGCACAACATCTAAAACATACATGATTTTCTTTGAGATAGGTTCTGCATTCCTCAATGGACTTCGCTCTGAATCCTCTGCACTTTGCTAGGGGGTGGGGTTTGTAATGGATAGGACAGATTTAGGTTAGATCATCTCTTTTCTCCTTTTTATCAGTTTGAGATTCCAGCGAGGTGGTTATGTCTGTCTTGTGTGCAGATATGAAACCTTTTGATGCTGTGTTCTTAAGTGAGGGCTTCTCATTCCTGGGAGTGGTGGTGCTGCTGGTAGATAGTTTGAAGCTGGGGTCATTTCGTATCCAATCTTCGCAACATACAAACTGTGCAAAAAAGGAAAAAGGAGGAAAGGACACGTAGTGTTCATCTTTGTACCTTGATCCAATGGAAACCCACTTCTCCTGCAGATTATGTGGCAATTTATCTACAATTAGGTTAATAGCATGGGCAGCGTCTAGGTAGGTTAACCCTGGTAAGTAACCATCCTCTTTGGCAGACTGGAGCTCCAGGAGCAGATCTCCAAGTTCTCTTAACTTGGAATTGTCTTTGTTGGATATGCGTGGAAAGTTGTTAAGCTTACTAAAAAGTGCACTTTCTACAATCTCAGGGGCAGCATAGCACTGGTTGAGTCTGTCCCAGACCATTTGTAAAGCTAATTTTGGGTTGTTTATGTGCACAGACCTGAATCTTTTCACATACTCTGACGACTCTTTGCCAAGCCACTTTGCTAAGACGTTCAGTTCCTCACCTGCTGTCAGATCCAGTCCTTCAATGACATTGATGAAGGAAGCTTGCCATGCTCTATAATTTTCGGGTTGGTCATCAAACTTTGTGAGCCCAGAGGTAACAAGTTCTCTTGGTGCTTGATATTTTGCAAAGTCCGTTATGCTGAATGCTTGGGTATGATATACCTGTGGTGTACTGTATGGTAGCGCATGTACGAAGGAATGCTGATGAGGAGCATTGTTTGAATGAGGTGAAGGTGGCTCACTCTTGAATGGAGATCGTTTAATGATGTGGGTGTTCGGCAACTGGAAACTTTGAGCTTGAGGAATTTGGGATTCAGCTGGTTTTGTGACCTCACCCGTCTTTGTCTGTTCAATGGTTACAACGTATGGAGTAGTGTCATCGTTGCGTGAATGATTCACCTGAGTGACATCATGTGTTGCTGACAACAGATTTGTGTTGCTTTGCGATGGACTTCTAGGGATGCTGTCTATGGTAATCCATTTGCTTTTATCCTCAACATACTCATTTGTTTGCTCGTAGACAGTTAGAACTGTCAGAACTGCTTTTGGACTCACTGTGATATTCAGCCACCTCTGCTGCAGCCTCTAGAATTTCAGCCTCAGCCTGCACAGCTGCCGCCTTCTTTTCTGCTTGTAATGCTTCCAATGTAGCCTCCAATGTGGCTTTCTCTGCTTCCAACCTTGCTTTTTCTTTTTTCATGGCCAGCTCTCTCTCTGCGAATGATGCACATGCTCGTGTCGCTTCAGCCACAGCTCTTGCCCTAGCTGTTGCATTACTGGTTGAAGATCTTGAAGAGGTGCTCCTAGAACTAACTGACGAAGCTTTCCCAGATTTGTTGGGTTTATCCTCCATAACTTATCTTGATGCTTGCTTTTCAATAGCTTCCTAATAGATTTTCACTGTACTGTCCTCCCTTCATGTTTAAACTTTCTGAAGTTTCACAGCAAGTTAAACTCCATCCATTATAAAGTCGAGAAGTGCAAGTTCACAAATTACAATACACAGGTTACAAGAATGCTGTCAATCCCACACACATTTGCATATCAAACTAGATTTCTATACATTTCCAAGAAAATTTACCGAATGCACCGAAAAAGTTCCAGACAACATGTCTGCAAAACACACACACACACACACACAAAACACATCAGTTCCAGCATTGCTAACTTGACAGTGCAGTTGGTACTTTATCATAATAAAATACAGTGAACCAAACATCAGCGCGCCCGCCTCTGTGTCACCGTTGGAATGCGACTGAAGTACAAAGCCTATAATTTACATAATAAATAATAGTTTAACATTCAGATACGTTACATCGCAAATATGGAAATATTATGGAATATTTTAATTTGTGCCGAATGAGAGAGGTAGGATACATGAGAACAAAACTCCATTTCGCAAACAGTTGAGTGCACAAGCCTTTAAAGTATACTCATTTGTCAGTCTATGAGAGACGCATTCAGAATCAGCACATAGTCACTGTCTAGTGGGCTTTGTTTTCAAATGCGCAACTCATGGCATTCGCTGTTCTTCTGCTGGTGGGCGGTTATCAAACAGCGTTGCATTGCTGCGTCTTATCTATTTTACACATTAATATAAAAATATATATATATATCGACCAAAAAATATAGAAGAAGAAACGTACAGCTATTGCTCTTCAAAAACTCTTCAAAGCAAGGATTAAATGAGGATTACCCAAAAAAGCACCCCATCTAATGACATACATCAGCCATGTGTTCAACTGCTCACTTCCTGATTTATCTGCAGTCTCTTAAAGATTTCACTAGATGACAGTTCCACAACAAAATGAACTAAAGTACTATTATACGGGGCACAGAACAGTCCGAGGGTGAGTAAATTTTAAGTAAATTTTCATCAATTTTTGGGTGAACTATTCCTTTAATTTATTTAGGAATTATGTTAATGATATGATGATAACAGCCAAAATATATTGGTTAGTATTGGTCTGGTCATGTGATTTCAACATGTCTGCCCCATTAGGCGTCCCACTCAACTCTGTAAAATAAAACAGCTTTTATGAGAGCATATAATACATTATTTATCAATTATTACTTTATGTGTAAAGAAATTAAAAAATGTATTTAAAAAAAAAAAAGTGCACCTTTAAGCAAATAGAATTGAATGCCTTTGACTTACCAACTATGAAGGACAATGTAAATATGAATTAAATAATAAATTGTATTGAAGCCCATGACAAAAATGATCATGCATGTTACATTGGTACTTCACATAACATTGCAGCCAATGTATGTCTATAGTATGTTTTATGTACATCACCTGTACACAAACTTATCTGAGCTTTATAAAGTTGTGTCTATGTTTTTCTGTCTAGTATGTTCACTGAAGTAGGTGTTTGATTTGACATGTGACAGTTAATTTTTGTGGTTGGAAAAAAATTAAGCACAATTCATTTGTGAAAAAAAGAAAAATATCCAGTAATAAAAGCAGTGTTACGTTTTAAACTTGGCCATAGATATCGACTGCTGGATCATCTCTGAATAATCAAAATTGTTAAAAAATTTTAAATCATGCTTTGTGGAAGAAAAATCTTATTTTTCACACATAGTTTCGGTACAGAGTGCTTTATTATACAGCATGATAATGACCATTATCTATGTTGCAGGTGAAGGTTATAATTGCAGTTTCCTTTTTTTCTTTCTGTTGAGAAAGATTTCATTACTGGTGTGATTTATAATATTTTATCCAGCTTAACCCCATTTTCTTTCTCAGTGATCATTTGAGAAGCAGTCAGCAAAAAGAAAAGGATATGGTTCAAAAAGTAGCCATGGACGTAAATCATTTTAATGCTGAAGTGTGTAGTTTTTTCAGTGTCAAAATACTTTATCTTATCACAGCTTATGCAAACTATATGTAAGTTATATTTATAAATATGCCGTGGTGCTATAAAAACATCACCGACCAGCCAGACACAGCAACACTGGGTCAACAATTAGTGAGATAGTGGTCCATAACTATGTATACTGTATATATATATATATATATATATATATA